TCTGTGCCTTCTCTTAAGCATAAGGCTTATGTGTCCAGAATTTTGTTCCGTAATTGTAATTGAGTAACTTACCTTGAAAAATATTTAGAAAAGCAAACAGTAGTTATGGAGATGCCAGAGATCATCTGAAAACATTATTTATAACTAATTCTTAAAAACTACTTGAACAAAATCAGTTCCTCCAGAGGATAGTGAGGAAAACCTTCAGCTGTTGCTTCCACTGTGCTTTTCTTAAGTGGCAAGATGCTTCCAGCTCTTCTTGTACTTGTCTTATTACTTGATGATCTCCTTTTCATTCTTGCCTTGAAGTGTCTCAGGTCCTTGAGCCTGTCGCACTTCTAACACAGTTTTTTTATTAAATCAGAAATGTAAGGTGCTGTTTTCTTCATTCCCTTCACCTTCTGGCAAAGAGATAAGAATTGAGGGATACTTTGCCCTGCCTCTTTCTGTGGGTAAGCTGTAGGAGTACTTTCCTGTTCCTTGTGTGGTGCTGGCCTGAGCTCCCTGCTGGATGCATTAGCCATTGATTCTGTTGCTCTTCTATTGATTCACGCTGGCATGTGAAATCATGTCTTTGTGGGGTTAGGTGCTAACAGATCATGGGAAAGGAAAACAAATCCCTGTCTGGTGAGAGATTCCGCTTGTGTTATCTCAGTTTATGGTGCAAAAGGCATGACTTTCAAAGAAAATGCACAAACCTCATTGTGCTGTATTTCCAGGAGATAGGTTACAATGGGTTGAAGGTGCTGAGATGCTCTCCTGACACTTGGGCTGCTGGATGTCTCCATTCTAGCAAGACTACCTGTAACTGGCTTATATTCCAAACAGCACCTGAACCAGTCAGATAAACCAGACAGGGATGAAACAAAAGATTAGCATTTTGTTTAAAGCAGGGAAGTCAGTCTATGACAGTAACATGAAAACAGGGTCTCTTTCCTTTGTTTACCCTTCTGCAAATGTTTGCTTAGGAGCAATAAGAGTTAATTGTCAAACTTTACAATGTAGTCGGAGATTTTCTCATAAAATGTATAACAGACTCTGCCCAGATGGCAAATGCTGATATGTAAATCTAAAACATGAAAATTTCCATTGGGGGCCAGATGGTGGCTTAATGTGAATTGTTTAACATTTATGTTTATCTTATTAAAAGTGCCTTTATATGTCCAAACTAAGCTATCAATGTGGTTGGAAGAGCATATCACTAAATGAAGAGAAAAACCAAACCATCAGTACAAGGCACCTCCTGCTTACATGGATCATGGGAAAGCAAAAATGTCTTCTATGGAGAGAAGTTATTTCTCTGTCTTCAAAATTGTGAAGGAGATCAACCAAAATGAAATCACTGTTTGTCTGCTTGTGAAAATCTTGAACCCATACCATTTTCTCCAAAGTTAAAACTGTTGGACGGCAGTAATGCACTGTTAAATCCCATAATGTGTTTGCCCTTGGCGTTGGTGCTCAGAGGGAAGGAGCTGAGCTCCAGGCAGGGGGAAGCACCATGGCTGCAATCCCTCCTGGGCACAGGCTGGGCTCTTCCTGCACAGCTCCAGGCTCTGCCAAACCCATCATTTCCTCTGATGCAATCCAACAAGTTGCACAACGGAGGAAAGAACAAGTGGGTGCTTGTGGAGGCTGTCACATGAGGCTGTGCCTTTGCAGTAACTGTGTCTGATATTCAGGGAAGTGGTCAGCCAGGCTCTGAAGGGCAGCAGCCAGCTCTGGGCCAGATGCATCTTTTATAGGACTCTGGTGGGTGCACGTTTTCAGTTTAGGTGCCAGTCTGTGCTCCCTTGTCCCTCCAAATGAGTCTGCCTGAGACCAGCACATTGTGTTAAGGCATCTAAAAACCAGCGGGTCGCTCTTGCACAGGAGAGGAGAACACATTTTAATGGCTTTAGTTCTAACACTCCAGGCATGGAGTACACAGGGACTTCTGGGATACTTTCTCAGTCGAAGGGGAAAACTGCTTCAGTGATGAACCTAAAGTAGGATGCCTGCCTGTATGGGTACCTCTGTGTATGGTTGTGCTGGTGTTCAACAAGGCAGGGAAATAAAGAGGAAGACTGTGGGGAGACTAAAGGAACAAAATTGCAAAAAATGTTTGCTTTAGGCTGCAAGAGTATTTTTTTTAAGAGTTCTTTGCCATTACCTCGTGCTTGTGGTTGTGATTCATTCCTCAGTGAATCACTGGTCAATGTTGACTCTCTTAACTTTGACCTGAGGCTTTGGACTAATAACCAGAATACTTTTTTGTCTTGAAAAGGGAAGTATTACTAAAAGCATTGGTTGAAATTGTAGATAAGTGTTAAGTGGCAGGTTAATATTTAAATCAGTGTGCTGTTAGATACTACATATCAGCATATTGACCAGAAGAACACTCCCTCGATGTAGCCCATTTATGTTGAGTAATTAGTTGAATTGTTATTCAAAGTTAAGATTAATACTGCTGTATTTATGTACAACTTTTCAAACTGAAAATAAGGGAGCTCTTTTGCAGTTACATGGTGGTAACAAAAACAAAGCAACCCATCTTTTTGGTTTTAGGTGTCACTAGCACAACTAAATAAAATTTAAAAGTGCTCCCAACAAGGGTAGAGCATGACTGTTTGGCAAAGCTCAGCTCTTTGGCAGAGATAAGACACTGACCTAAATATGGTCCCTTGAAAAATGGTGACAGGAGCCAATCAGTGCTGTTATATTTGTCAAACAACAGCTCGAGATCCTGACAATCTTGATAAGTATGCAAGCATATTCATTCACAAAAGAATCCTGAAGTGACTGCTGCACACACAAAGAGGCAGTGCTGTACAGCCACAGCATTTTCTTTGGTCAGCTGGTGTCTTTGGAGATATCTCATCCCACAAAGGAGGCAGCACCCAAAGCTGTTTACTTTGATAATGAATATTGCCATTAGAATGACTGAAAGATGCAATAGCTGAGTCTTAAGTTTTTGTACTAAGGCTACATGGGTTTTCTTCTTAAGGAAAATGTGTTTTGCCTTCTGTAGCTCTGTAGCTGCAGAAAGAAAAACTTTTGTTTTTCATCGTTTAACCTGAAACTGAGCACCAGTTCTGATATTTTTGTGCATTATACACACACATGCAGAAAAAAAAAAATTGAGTCACATTTTTAATGGTGCTTTGTAAATGAATAATTCAGAAGTGAGCCCTAAAATCCAGATCCTGCAGTTTCATCCAGAACATATTGCAAATGCTCAGAGACTAGGAAACACTTTTGGATCTGCTGCAGAAGGAGACACTGAGCAGCTGGTAAACTACTGGCCCTTAATGAAGCTATACCATATTGCAGTATCTCAAATTACTGCAGAACTTAATTAGTTCGTTTTACCCTGCCAATCTGGAAAGACCAAACATTGTCTTGGGCAGCCACTGTAATAATTTCAGCTTCTTCATTGCTGGCCATTAAAGCTGCATTTGGTCTCTCCTACAAAGGTATATGAAATATGATTTAGATTTGGAAGTGCCTGCATTGTGTTACACAAAGATATTTTATGTAACTACCCGATTTTAGTAAAAATACATTTTTTTAGATATTAGTAGAAGTTGTTCATGCCACATGGAATGAGGACACTGAATTGGTTTGTTCAGATGTGGGCTGGGCCTAAAGCTTTTTGCCATAGTTGTTGTACAGACGTGATCATTTTGAATGGCAGCATGAGCTGGCATTCAGGTTCCTTTGCTTCTCTATTTGAAAATAACCTTCAGAGAGAAGGCAATGTTTGAATTTGATGTGATGGCAAAAAATTATACCTTGGGTGTGGAGCTGCTGGGTGAATCAGGAAGGTTCTGTTTAAATGAAATGCAGTGTTTGGTGTATTACTTGTAGTGTGTTAATCTGAGGAGGATGCCCAACACTAAACGTTATTTTTACATGCTGCTCCTAAAGGGTAATTTTAAGCATAATGAAACATGATGTAAAATCAAAAACTTTCAGGCACCAGCTAAATGGTTGGCATTTACCCATCTGAAAAATGTGGCTAGCAAGTATAAAAATTCTGTATCAGCAGGCATACAAATTGATAAATTTTGCATGTTAGGTTTTCTTCATAGAAGAAAATACTCTAGACTTCAGCCCTAAAAATATTGACTATTTGAACAAGAAAAAACTAAAACAAGAGAATCCTCTAACTCCCTTGTCCTTCCCCGCCAATAAAAAAACCCTGATGCAATAAATTAAAAGTAATTGTAGCCAAAGCAAATAGTATTAAGTAGTTGCTTTTTCTTAAATAGCAGAATTCCATTTGGACTCTGTGATTAGCTAGGGACCAAATCATTAACAGTATTTGAGGCCCTGTAACCACTGTTTATACTCAGCTGCTCCAAACCAGCCACATTTAGAACATCAACACAGACTAAGCTTTAAATTACAATTTTTTACTAATAGTCTTAATAATTGTCTTTAGTGCTAGTGATATTATGTCACTTGGTGTCTTTGAAACCAGATTCTCTTCCAGCTCTAAAGCTCGGTTCTGTGGATTTTGCATTCTGCATTTTGCAGTATGGCTATTATTGTTACTTCAGGAAGCCTCCATCATGTTCTCAGTCAGCTTTTGCAGTTTTACAAGAACATGTGAAAAAAAATTTACATGGTCAAACTTTTCAATTTCTCTCTTTTCTCCTAAAAGTTACTTTCTTTAATCTTTTGAAGATACATTCTGTATCTTCATGTTTTCTATGAGACAAGTTGAAAAAGAAGAATGTATTTATCCTCTGGCTAGTTCCTGTATTTCCTTACCAATTGTAATAAATTCTTGGTTTCTGTGAGCCTGTATGTGGGCCACAGAAACCAAACCACCAGATCACACATTTCAGAAATGTCACATAGAACAATATTTCATTTTTGATAATTTTGTAGGATTAAGAGAATAAACTTCAGTTACAGGAGTCTACCCATTTGACACAGAGATTAAAAGTTTTGCTGTTGTTCTAAACCAGTTCTGCTGGGGAGGAATTTGCTTTAAAAAAGCATTTCTATTTCAGGACATGAACTTGATCGACATCCTTTGGAGGCAAGATATAGACCTTGGGGCAAGACGTGAAGTTTTTGATTCTAGTCAGCGACAGAAGGAGTATGAACTTGAGAAACAGAAGAAACTTGAAAAGGAAAGACAAGAGCGGCTCCAAAGAGAGCAGGAGGAAGCCTTGCTGGCTCAGCTGGAATTAGACGAAGAGACAGGTGAATTTGTTCCTGTGCAGCCAGCTCAGGGCGTTCAGTCAGAAAATACTGAGCCACCTGTTGTTTTCTCACAGGTAAACTCCAGTGCTTTGAGTGTGTGTAACCCTGTTGCCATTCACAGGAAGGCATAATCCTGGTGGCTGCCTAAAATGAATTTGCATGTGTTGCTGTAATGGAACTTGGTAACTCAAAGATGCAGTAACCTTTTTTCATAACTTTCCTATTTAGACCACAGAGCCTTCAAAACCAGAAGCAGAGGCCTTGTCCTTTGATGACTGCATGCAGCTCTTGGCAGAAGCATTCCCATTTATAGATGAGCATGAGGTAAAAATGCACAATTCAGTGGTTTCATGGGTGGTCTTCCACGGGGTCAGTCTCATGTCTTCTCTGACTAAGAATAATTTGTGATCTGAGCTTTCTCCTCAAGCTGGCTCCAGCTGGCATAAAGTAGTGAGAAGGCTTGAGCCTATTTTTATATTATTTCATTGTATTTTAAAAAAATGCTTTTCTTTAAGAAATACTTGTTTGTTCTGCAGAAACAGTAGAACTCCAAAAACTAGATTATTGCCTTGGAAAATGCACATCTGTTTTTTTGAGTGGGTTTTTTAGTTATCATTGCTTCAGCTTTTTAATTTTTTGTTCAAACCCTTCAGGCTTCTTCAGCTGCATTTCAGTCACTGGTTCCTGCTCAGGTCAATAGCAACCCAGCCTTTGTTTCCTCTGATCAAACTCAGCCACCTGAATCCCCTGATCTAGTACAACCCACTGATGCAGAGAACATGCAGAACATAGACCAAGTTTGGGAAGAATTATTGTCCCTTGCAGAGCTACAGGTTAGTATGATAAGCACCTGAAAAACAAAGCGAGATGTTTTGAAGGACTGTAGTATTTTGGAGAAGGCAGTACAATAGCATCTGAACAGATGGTGATTATTACTTGGTTTCTACACCTGTAGAATGCTTATAACTCAATATAAGCTTTTTTCAAAAAGAATATATCGAAAAACATGTAGGAAGAATGAAATTAGTTGTTTATGGATAAGCCTTAATGAAACACTTTTCAGTCAGAACTTCCTCATGTTTAGCAAGTCACTGCCTCTGTGTGCAACTTGATACAGTGTGATCACTAAAATTCAGCTGCTCAAAAATAGACATTTCTGAGTCATGGATCTACTACAGGAATTGTTTTCACAAGTGTTACTGTAAATCTTGGGGGACTCTTTGGCAGTGTCTGATTGTGTAAATATGATTACTTTTGCATTAAACTTTTATCTAAGGAAAAGTTTTTTTAAAACTGAGAATATATATTTAGGTACACAAAAGAGACAGGTGTATTTATATGAATGCTGTTCATATATATTCAGTAAGAACAACTTGTGCAATGTACGGGGACTAGATATTTCAAAGGAACAAAAAAATAATTTTGCTGATACAGAGAATATGTAGGGATTTTTATCATGTTTCTATTTCTGTTTTCCTTATATTTTACTATAAAATTGAATAAATTTATTTTTAAATACAGTACTGTAGAATGTCATCATGCTTTCCAGCATGCTGCTGCTCTACTTTCTGCTATTAATACAAGAGATGATTACTTGGTGGAGTGCCCATAAATCTAAATCATATTTCATAAAACCAAAGTGAAAACTTGCAGGAGCTGAACTTTTCCTGCCACTCTCCCTTTTCCCTTTGTCTTCTTAAGTTTTTTATATTCTTCTGGTTTTCTACCATGATTACTTTGTTAGGCCTAAAGGCTCCACATATGTAACAAGGGCAATTGGCTGTGAAGAGGCAGCAGTGACAGTGAAAATACATTAAGAAACCAAACCAAAATAATCTATTGCAGTAATTCTGAATAGTAATTGAATAATTTTCTGGAAAAAAGAAAGATAATTAAAATGAGGGCACTGCCTTTTACATATTATGTTTAGAGAAACAGAAAAATAGAGCTCTCACATTGAAAATCTTAGCTTAAGCCATGAACAACCTCTAGTTAAGTAATTCCTGGGGGACAGTGGGCCTGCTTATTTCAGCTTGAGTTAGGCAACTGCCACCCCATTGGAAAGGTGTTCTTGTAGTCATTGAAAGCCCATCAGTGGAGCAGTCTGCTCACACTGGTGTTAGCCAGCTGAACTAATGTGTGTTTGCCAGGCTACATGTTAGCACTCTCCTTACTTCACCAAGAATTACACTGCTCTGTGCTGAACAGACCTTCATTCAGTAAATCCTAGAAGAATCTTGGTTTTAAGGAGCCGTGACATGAAAGTAATAGTGCTAGAAGTAATTGTTTGGTGTACATGCTTATGAACTCTCATTCAGGGATTTGACATTTCTGTACTCATGCCATTCTTGGCAGTGGTGCTCGTGAGAAGGTCAGACCTGGCAGCTCCAGGATCCCCACTAGGAATTACCAGAACAGGAAGGTTCCATGCAGTTTCTGTAACACATTGGAATGGGTGTCTTCAGCATCTTGCTCTGAGCCCAGGAGGCTCTCCTCTCTTCCTCTAAACAGCTTTGTCCAGAACAAATTGTGTTGTGCTCTTGCTTTGGTCTCTGTCATCTTCCTTGATTGCCTCTTCATAGCACAAGGGTGCTGTAGTCATATAGACTACAGTGGTGTTATAAAGCCCCTTTATGTCCATGTGATTAGCTATTTAATGCTTCTGGGTTGTAGAAAAGGGTTTTATCAATTGGAGATGTGTTGCTCAATTTTTCCCTTGCATTCCCCATCTAGGGCCTGAACATTGAAAACGATAACGTGGCTGAGATGAGCACAATCACGAGCCCTGAAACCAAGCCAGCAGAGATGCACGATAGCTACAATTACTGCAGCTCATTACCCATGCTGAAAAAAGACATTAATTGCAGTCCAGATTTCCTGGATGGTATGGAGGGTCCCTTCTCTGGCATTCTGCCACCAGAAGACACCAGCCAGCTGAGTGTGAACTCTTTAAATGACACATCCCCTTCAAACTCGGATTTCTGTGAGGATTTTTACACCACATTTATTGATACAAAGGTGAACGGTGATGCAGCAGCAACGAACACAATCAGTCAATCCCTGGCAGAGATTCTAAGTGAACCTATTGATCTTTCTGACTTTGCACTGTGTAAAGCTTTTAATGGCTCAGGGACCAGAGCAGAATGTACCGATTCTGACTCTGGTATTTCACTGAATGCAAGTTCCAGCGTAGCATCACCGGAACACTCTGTGGAATCGTCTGCCTATGCAGATAAGACTTTGGGTTGCAGCGATTCTGAAATGGAAGACACGGATAGTGCACCTGGAAGTTTGCTGCAGAGCAGTGCTGGTGGGTACTCTTTGCACCTCCAGGATCAAGCGTTTTCTTCCTTAGGGCTGAGCACTCAAACACCAAGTTTGCCGTGTACAGCCACACCCAAGAAAGAACCCCCTCCTGCTCCCGGCCAACCCAAAGCTCCCTTCACAAAAGACAAACCTCCAGGCCGCCTTGAAGCTCATCTCACAAGAGATGAGCAAAGAGCAAGAGCTCTGCAGATCCCTTTTCCTGTTGAAAAAATCATCAATCTCCCTGTTGCAGACTTCAGTGAAATGATGTCTAAGGAGCATTTCAATGAAGCCCAGCTTACACTTATTCGAGATATACGCAGGAGAGGCAAGAACAAAGTGGCTGCTCAAAATTGCCGTAAAAGAAAACTGGAAAATATAGTAGAACTGGAGCATGATTTGAGTAACCTAAAAGATGAGAAAGAGAAATTGCTTAAGGAAAAAGGAGAGCATGACAGGAGCCTTCATCAAATGAAAAAGCAATTCACCAGCCTGTACCTCGAGGTCTTCAGCATGCTACGTGATGAAGATGGAAAGCCTTATTCTCCTAGTGAATATTCACTGCAGCAAACTAAAGATGGCAATGTCTTTCTTGTTCCTAAGAGCAGGAAGTCAGGGACTAAACTTTGAAAGGCAGTACAGCTGGCTCCTGTTCTCTGAGTTACTATTTTTGTATCATTATCATTATAGTTTTTACTGTGAGGTGGAATGCAGAATTAAGTAATATTTGTCAAGTAAGTCTATGCAATGATAATTTTCAAGTTGTTAATTAGTTTATGGAAGATGCAAGTTGAAAATTAATCACTTAATGCAGATGGACATATACGAAAATTTTAATCTGACTTTGTAACAGACATTTATTTCTTATAGCACCACTTTGACTAGTTTCCACATCTATGTAAATATTTAAATATGCCATATTTATATACTGTTCCTATCTATTGTTATATTCATAGATTTATTGGATATATATAAATAAAAATGATTTTAGCCTTCTAAATATAATTTCTTGAAAGACAACCAGGATGGCTTCTGATAGTTTTTATAAATATGCAAGTGTTCCCCACTTTTCTTACACGTTTATACTTGCTTTATATTTAATATATTAATGTAGTATAAAAGTTGACAGTGTTTGATTTTACTTTATCTGCTCATTAAACTTTTTAAACTCTACTTCATAGACATTTATTTCCTTAAAGAAGAGAAATCCTTGCTAATTTTCCAAGGCTAAGTCTTCCTGCAGCATAATACTAAACCACACAGCGCTGTCAGCATTACTAACGCTTCATTCAGCTTCATTTTAATAACCTTTGGAAAGACTACGTAACACAACGCTTCAAGTCTATACTAAACTCACATTTTTGTTTTCCTCCTTGCACTATGTCAATTTATGAGATCTTTTCTCCAAAGGCATTTAAAATCTGATAAAGCATTGTCAGCATTATGCCTTTTTACAGCTAAAATTTCTGTAGGCTTTTGAGCAATTCTCCTAGAAATACACTACTGTGCCTCCAACTTCAACCACCAAGCATCCCATGTTCCTGCTGTTACATTGGTGCTTATGGAAAACTGCACACTAGCAGCCAGCCACCTACCCTATTTGGAATCTCTGCTCAGTAAAGTGAAAAGGTTTGTGGAGTTTAAATTATGATTTCTAAAAGAATAAAAATGGGCAAATAAATAGCATTGTTTTGTTTACGACTCAAAGGAACTCATTGCACTTGATCATTTTGGATTGTTTCAATATAGAAAATGCATAATTTGTAAGACTTGTTGATCTGAACATTAAAAACCATCTTCATCCCTGTGAAAGTTCTAAAACACATGCTTGATCTGAAGTGATTTTTTTTTCTTGCCACGGGTGGGCACTGGGGGAATGCAAGATACTGCTGCCACTTAAAGCATGAGGAGTAAGTCATATTTGAAGATGGCAATTTTAGAGCATAGGCATCAAGGAGAAAGCACACCCAGCCATGGCCCTGGACAGTGTTCCCAGATTGATACACGGTAACTCTTAAACACAGGCAGGGGCTGGTGGCAAAGCACAAGCGCCTAAAATGCTCCTGGGTTCCCTTTGCCATTAACTACGCTCTCAAATGTGTGTCAGAGAAAATTCTCTACAGCTGCAATATAAATACTTTGAATTACAAATTGGCTATTAAACAGACATCTCAGTAAACTCCTGCCCTGCACTTCCATTTGTTGTTTAATTTGTTCACTAATGTGAAAGCCAAAGGCAAACAGCATCCTTACAGCCTTTGCAGGGACTACTGTATTTGTACCATCCATTTGTCAATAACATAATATAAAGATACTTCTTCCATTACCAAAATAAAAGTGCAAGAACAAAAAAACTGCAGTTAATGCAGCAGCCTTATTTTAATTTCGTCAGGTGAAGTATCAATCTGAAGTAACTTGGTCTGTGACAACTTGCATTCAGTTTAAACCAGTGTTCTTCACATCATCAACACAGTCCATGCTGCTCTCTCATCAAACCCCCCAATATCATTAAGGGAAAAAAAGAAAACACATTACTCATATATACAAAAACATCAGATTGCAAACTATAACCTTCATTTTATTACTATTATTACTGAGGTAGAGTATGTTCCCAAACCTGAGTAACTAGTGACATTGCCAAACATCATCACAATGCTGACCTCATACACTGACCAGCTGCCATGTGGAAACCATTTGTTTCTTGATCAAAACATTCTGCTTTAAAACTATTAAGAATAAAGCTGAAAAGCTGGCCTGAGCCCAGCGTTTTTGGCTTGCAGTCCCAAGTTGGAAAGATGATCCTGTAAGAAAATGTGTTGCAATAATTCTGGACCACTTTGTGTTCTTCACAGCAGTAAAAAAAGGTGATGCCAACACATTTTAGATTGCGAGTCATTGGACAAGGTACACTTTATTCTGATACAAAATTGAAATATTTTAACAAATTTCAATCCATTATGGACTATACTGAAATTTTACATTTCCATTCTAATTTAACTTGTGTAACCACAAGTTTCAAGATGTCAGCACACTAGAGCACCATTGCTGTTGAAGTCTTTGCCAGTTATACCATTTTATTCTGTTTCCAATCTTGCGATATTATCTTCTACATGAAGGCCATTTTTTCTTCTATGGAGATACTTGGATTACTTTAGTTCAGGAAAAAGCTAATAGTGAGAGATGTCAACCTGTAGCACCCACAGCAGAAAAAGAATCATCCATCAGATACATGAATTTCAGTGATACTAAAGATCTTACATGCTCCACACCATTTAAGATACACAGACTTGTCAGAGACCACAGACTGATTTGTGCATATTCCACCTCAGTGTAGACAGTACATGAAAAAACATTATTGTCTTAAACACAGGAACCAAAGACAGCATTCAGTACATGACACAATTAATGCTTGAAAAGATTAGGAACCTTAAGTTTTGGAAGGATATCAAAGTTAAGGTGCTGTGTCTAATTTCGGTTTTCCTAATAGCAGGGTTACCTCCATCAATCTGGGCTGCTTTTGGAGAAACTCCCTTCTCTACCTGGAAGTATCATTTTTGTTACCAAGTTAACTTCTGTACAACTGCAGTTTAGGGACCAGTACTTCGTTAGCTTTGCATCTTTCATTCCCATCTCCATTTAACGCTATTTTCAACAGAAGCCAGTAAACAAAAACATAGCCATGAAATAATGTTCTTAACTCTTAGAAGTGCCTCTTGAACAGAGATAAAATTGACCAAGTACTCCCTTAAGAATGTATTTATTTTGGCCATTTTTTTTCTGAAAAGATTTGGCTGTAAATAACGGAATTTAAGCAAATTAATCTTAACGGAAGTGTTGTTAATCAAACTGTGAAAATAATTCTAACAGTGATTATCTATTTCTGTATGTGGTGCGTAAAGACCCATCCAGAGCAGAGAACAAGTCGGCAGTAACATGGAATCCTCTTTTTAAGAAAAGCTAGAACTTTACACAGGACTAGTACCAAGGTGAACTACAAAGTTCTTGTTAATTTTGTTAGAACATTTTCAAAATTTTACTGTTAAAAAAATCCAAAGACCACTGCAAGTGCAAGAGCATTTGCCTGCACCTGAGGGGCAATGCTGTTCCCCATTACCTGTTGCCACACAGATGCCTGTGGGAGCTCTGCCAAGCAGAACAAAAGCACAGGTTTCCCACTTTTAGGTCCAAGAAAGCAGGCTTGTCACCTCAGCAACAAGCTTGCACATTACTCTAAGGCAATGTGACTGTACTGCTGCAGTGTGAGATTTAGGCTCAACCTTGGCTAAGCACAAACTTGTCTCAATGTTTCCTAATAAATACATGCAGTCATCGTGAGATTTTCAATTAAGTAGCTTCTGATTTTATGAAGGTCTCTGTATGTTACTTCCAAATTACATTTAACTGTGTCTTTAAAAGTCGGGAATTACTTTCTGGGGGTCTACAGGCAGCAGGTAAAAAAGTTTAAGTACTTGAAATAGTTTGTGAACATGCCTCTGCCTCTGATTAGGCAGGTTCCACTTGACTATTTTCAGAGCAACTGAAGTATAACCAACACTAAAATAGAAATTGACTTCCTGAGAATGCACAGGCTCAGAAATATACTAGGAAGTTTACATAAATGTTGAAGTACTTTATAAAAGGACCTGTAACAATCAAAGATGCAGAAAAGGAAATAATACCTGTTCCAAGACTTAATAAATGTTCCAGTCTGCATAAAATCAAGATTCTATGAGATTTTATCACCATTCCATTTGCCTGCACAAATGCCATTGTGATTTCAGCTGGCTATCACATGATAGTGTTAGCCTCAACTACTCTGCCTAAAAGCACCCAGAATCTGAAAGGGAGCTCATTGATTTGTACAGGTGAATACAACATCACCTGGTAAGCCAGGACCCACTACCTAGGAGGGAAATCCCAGCTTGCACCAATACCAAGCTTCCTCCCAGAACGGGTGCAGCAGGAGCACGTCACACAGTGCTGAGAACCGATGAACCACTCCGGAGTCACTGCTTTTCTGGGCTTCTCTGGGGCACCTCTTTCCATGACAAGGCAGAGAACAATTTCCCCCCACCCCAGCACACTCCCCAGTAACCAAAACACATTATTTCAAAACACCAACTTGTCTTGTTCATCTCAGACACGAAGCAATTTTGTATCTGCCAGGAACAAAAGATTCTTGAACAGGAATTGTGCCAGCAAGCAGCCTGCACCCAGAACAGGAACACTGGATGACACAGGCTGAGTTTTTCTTGCTCAGTGCTTACGGCTTCCCTTGATATTAAAAGACTGTCAAAGGAAGGCCTAGAAGGAAATAAGGATTTAAACACGTTTTACTATACACTACAAATCTTACCCAGTCAGAAACCTTCATTTGAAGAGGATGTGCAAGACATTCCCCATTTTGTCAAGCAGCAGCTTCTCATTCAACCTGAAAATTAAAGAAATTACTCTTACCTTGTTTAAAAACCTCCCACCACTCTTTATAATTCATGAAAAATTTTAAAGGCAAACCTTACCTATGCTCATTGCCCTTCCTTTCAGGTCTAAATGCTAGACCTATTGATTTTGAGTCAACTCAAGTAGCTATCACTCAAGGAGGTTCCAAAAGGTGAAGAACTCTTGCTAGACTTTCTTCGATATTTCAGCTGTGATAAGTAGATTTAACTAGCCTTGGGAAAGCTGCTCACTATCAGCACAGTATCTTATTCCTTCACTTTTCTGGAAGTTGAAGCTGTTGCTCCTGCTGCCTTGTCATTCTTTAATTAGGCTGACTTCTCCATACTCAATAGGCTGCTGAAGTCCTGTCTTACGAGTCTCCTTAGCAATGTATGGATCAAAGAAGTACATCCTAGGTTCTGTAAAGCTGGCGGATCACTGTCCTCATGGCTTACACTTTTCCACGTCACAAACAACAGCTAAGCTACCCCACCCACCTACAAAGCGATCACTTACATCCATCTCTTAAAAGGTTGCATACAGATCTTGTTCATAAAGTTTATTATGACACTATTTTTCAAAGTTAACATTGTAGTCACAGTACAGCTACAAGAGGCCCTGTTAAAAAGAACACTGTCAATACATTCTAAAAAAATTTAGAAATACCAGATCAATTGTCAGAAGGGACACCAACCCCATCCTTCAGTTGTCCCTGCAATCACATGCAGGCCCGAGGTGCAAGTCTACACATCTTCTAGCGTAGTAATGTACAAAGTCAGCAGTTAGGTGTCTCACTCCCTAGTGAGTTGTGGTTTAGTTCCCCATGTTTTCAAACTCCAAATGGGTTGTTTAAAAAATGCCTTTATTGAAGTACAGCCTCCCCCCCACCCCAAGCCCAAATGAACACGTACAACAGAAGCATTCACTAAACCACCAATTCTTGCTTTAACTTTTGAGATCTTTCAGAGCTCCACAGACAAGAATAAGCAGACTTTGAAATCCATTTTGGAGGCTACCATCTTGACACTGGTTTCTTGTTTTAGCATACTGCAGTCTAAATACACTCCAATAACAGCATTTAAGTAACATATGTTTAATTTTTTTCAAACAACACACTTATTTTTCTACCACTTCTTAAAAATTATAATTCATTATTAATGACTGATTATGCCTTAAGCCATTTCATACATCTTTGCAGATTCATTCCTACACTGGAATTGCATTTACCTTATACTGCACATTGACCCAGAAGTGAAACAGGTGTGAGTAATTCCAATACATATTGCCAAGTGTCTGAGTATTTCTTTTATTGACTGGGTCCCTACTCCTCTGAGTCTGAATTGACAGCAAGCACTGGCCTGGCGATAGTCAAGAGAATTCACAT